TGCCGAACGCCTCTGAACGAATAGGGCTGTCGGATGTTGCCTTTTAGTCGACGAATAGGTGGAATGTGTCTTTGTGTTTTTCGTGGGTCTATTTCACGATTTGGCGCAGTGCAAGTCTGGTCAATGGTTTATTTGCCAGATCATTGACCATTGGCTTCAGTTGTTCACACAGCACGCTGGATAACACTTTATATGCGATGGGAAGGAGACTTTTTCCTCTATAGTTGGACCGATGGAGCTGGAAATTGAAATGTAGAGTTAGGTTCTCTGTTGGGCTGTAGGATTGAGATTTTGGAAATTCGTACTAATGTGTACTAAATTTGATACAATTTGGATTTAGGTGATCCCATAAAGCTGGGATCCTGAAATTTGGAATTAATATTCCAGTTGGTGTGTAAAATTCGAGTATGTGGGAAGTTTCGTACATTATGTGTATTAAATGGTACTAAGTCAGTTACAATTTCGATTTGGGTGAACCACTCCTGCTGGAATCCAGAAATGCGTAATGCTCCAATGCGTACTAAATGGTATTAAAATTAATAACATTTTGATTTGGTTGAAACTGTAGTGTTCAAATCATGAAATTTAGAATTAGTTTTGGAAATAAGCTTTACAAGTGTACAAACGGAAATAAATGGTACCAAATTAAGTATAGACTAGATTTCCTTGGAGGATAAAAAACATATATTCAGACAATTATCACTATTTTAATTTTTGACATATCCCTCATATACAGATGCCGACATATTTTTTAGTAAATCGTTGAAATCGTTGCAGAGTAAAGCATTTAACCGTATTTTCCAGCCGAAGTAGCAGTAAAGTTGTATTATGTGATCTCGAAGAATAAAATACGTATTGGCATACAAATTTCAAAATAGGGCCGCTCAATGTTAAGTACTTTCGAATTTGTTAGAATTTAGCATAACGGGTTAAAAATATGGTAGGCAAAAAACCTCATCTCAAATAATTCTCTATAGCCCACGTTTTACCTATATCATTATACGATTCCTTTTTATATCCTACACAACTATGTTGTAAGGATTTTATAGCCTTGTGAGGACCCAAAAGATTGTAATGCCGCGAAATATTGTCCATAGATTAACCTTTTAGTATACCGATCGTTACATCTCACACATGTCACACATGTGTTTCATGTGTGTGTCAGTCCATTATAATTGGTAAACACGATACAAACCACAAATTTTGCAAATTTCCTTGAGGTTCCGGCTGTTGTGAAGGACGACGCCTACAATTTCCTATGATAGTCGGATGATTAAATGGACCAAAAACTTTATTTTCATGTACTTTTTCCACTCGCTCAAGAGACCACAATTATAAGCCGAGTGACGCAAATTTTCCATGGGGAAGGCTATCTGACCAAATAATTAAAATAAAATAACACAATTTGAATCTTATAGAGTACCCACAATTCAAATTGTACCAAATTTTATACACAGCAGTGAAAAATTCACCCACTATTGGTTCATTCAAATTCTACCAAATTTAGTACATAGTTGTACCAATTTCCAAAACTTCCTACATACCCCTATCCTACACCCCCACAGTGATCCTAAATCGAAGTTTCAAGATTCCAACTTTATCGGTTGACCAACAATCCAAATTGTATCAAATTTAGTACACAGTAGTACGAATTTCCAAAATTTTCTACTTAACCCAAACCAACACCCCACAGTGATCCTAAATATAAGTTTAAGGATTCAAACTCTACCGGTTCACCCACAATTCAAATTGTATCAAATTTTGTACACATTATTACAAATTTTCAAAACTTCCTACATACCCCAATCATACACCCCCACAGTGATCCTAAATCCATGTTTCAGGATTCAAACTCTATCGGGTCACCTACAATATAAATTGTACCAAATTTAGTACACAGTAGTACGAATTTCAAAAACTTCCAACTTAACCCAAACCAACACCCCCACAGCGATCCTAAATCCATTTTCAGGATTCAAACTCTATCAGTTTACTCACAATTCAAATTGTACCACATTTAGTACACAGTAGTACCAATTTCCAAAACATTCTACATACCCCACTACTACCCTCCACACTGATCCTAAATCCAAGTTTCAGGATTCCAACTCCAAATTGTACCATATTTAGTACACAGTAGTACGAATTTCTAAAACCTCATTCTTACCACAAACCTACACCCCCATAGTGATCCTAAATCAAAATTTTAGGATTCCAACTCTATCGGTTTACCCACAATTCAAATTGTACCAAATTTAGTACACAGTAGTACCAATTTCAAAAACTTCCTACATACCCCAATCCTACACTCCCACAATGATACTAAATTCAAGTTTTAGAATTCCAACTCTATCGGTTCACCCAAAAAATCAAATCGTACTAAATTTAGTACATAGTAGTACCAATTTCCAAACCCTCCTACATACCCCAATCCTACACCTCCACAGTGATCCTAAATCAAAATTTAGTACACTTAGTACAAATTTCTAAAACTTCCTACACACCCCAACCCTACACCCCCACGGTGATCCCAAATCCAAGTTTCAGGATTCCAATTCTATCGGTTCACTCACAATTCAAATTGTACCAAATTTAGTACACATTAGTACAAAATTTCTAAAACTTCCTACATATCTCAATCTTACACCTCAACAGTGATCCTGACTCCAAATTTCATGATTCCAGCTCTATTGGTTCTCCTAAAATTCAAATTGTACCAAATTTAGTACCATTTAGTACCCATAAGTATTATTTTCGTAAACTGAATCCTGACTCCAATCCCACACCCCTACAGTGATCCTGACTCCAAATTTCATTGTTCCCGCTCTATAGGATCACCCAAATACAAACTGTACCGATTATAGTACGATTTAGTACTTTTCGTACACATAAGTAACAAATTTCCAAAACTACGTTCATATCCCAATCCTACACTCCGACCGTAATTTTAATTTCAAATTCCAGGATTCCAGCTCGATTTGTACCTCCAAATCAAATTTGTACCAAATATAGTACCATATAACTCTCCTCATATCGACCCTAATTCTCATCCTTAATTTGCATTCCAAATTTCAAGTTTTTAGCTCAATCCATTCACATGCTACGAAATTGTACCAAATTTAGTACATTTTAATACTTTTCCGAAAAAAACCCAGCCTTATCTGTCACATTTGGACCAAGAGTGACACTCACCCAAAATTTCAAGATTCTAGCTTCAGCCGTTTCGTCTGGGCGTTGATGAATCGTTAAATCAGTCAGTCGATCAATCACTTTACTCTTTTATTAGTATAGATTAAATTTGTACCAAATATAGTACCTTTTGTACTTTTACACATGAGTAAGCGCATTCAAAACCATCTCCTTAAATGGACCCTACATCTCAACCTTAATTCACACTCCAAACTTCAAGTTTTTAACGCTATCCGTTCACTTGCTACAGAATTGTACCAAATTTAGTACATTTTCGTACTTTTCGAATAGTTATAGTTCGAATTTCCAAAAACCCTATTGGTACATCTATCCTACACTCCATCAACGACCACAAACCACATTTCAGAGTTCCAACTCCACCGGTTTGCCAAATACAAATGGTACTTTTTAGTACTTTTCGTACCGTTATAGTACGAATTTCCAAAAACCCAGCCTTATCTGTCACATTTGGTATAGATTATTTAAACTCCGCAAGACATGGTTCAGAAAAGATGTCGCAGAGAAGCTGTTGACCTTAATCGGTCAAGAAAACAAATATAGCGAAATATTTCCCTGGCTCGGAATATAGATCCCCAGAAACATAGAACTCAGTGGTTGTTGTGTAGGGTATCATCCGAATATACTCTCTGCTCACTGGTTTGGTTTTAGCAAAATTTAATACATTTTAGTACTTTTCGGATACTTTTAGATTAATTAAAAAACAAACTTTAGTATATATATATATATATAAGATTTCTAGCTCTATAAATTCAACAAATATAAATGGCACAATTTTTAGCACTTTTCTACTTCCACCAAAAATTTCAAGAGCATCAGCCGTTTCGTCTGGCTGTTGATGAATCGTTAAGTCATTCAGTTTAATTATTTATTAATGCAGACTCTATTTAAATGGATTTCTTCATGTTGCATACTTTTAGGCCGTTAAAATAATTTGTGATTCTATATTTCTTATTTCGTCCATCAAATTCGCATTAACAAATTCGTGTAAATTATATATTTTATCTTACAAAAATATACACATTTAATTTTTGATTTCTCTTCTAGCTCTTCTCATTGTGTTCGTATCCCCAATATTTTTGGTTTACCGACAAATGTCTAAACCCATCGACACATCTGAGACAACAGTTGAAGCTATCGCTGCCGATATTAAGCCGATAACAACCATATATTAACGGAGCATGGCGACAAATGGATGCGATGCCGAACTTTGGCACGTCAAAAAATAATATTAATCAAATTTATGTATTTCAAATATAACCAACAAAAGCAATAAACATTATTTTTATGAAAGAGAATAATCTACTTTTTTTTGTTGTTCAGCCCAATCAGCAGCACTACAAAAAGTGTGTTAAATATTTAATTCTATTACCTAACTTTTTTATATATTTTTATTAACGGACATTTAACAAGAAATTTACATATTTCGAAAAAAACTGGTTTTGCTTCATTGATGGCTGGCAGACACACGTTCGACGTTCTGACAGCAGAATTACGAGAGCCAGTGCGATTTTATTGTTAATCAAATTCCATTTTTGGGTGGGGGATAGAAATTCTCATTTTTTTGCAAATATCATCGCAACTACAGATTGATGTGCAATGCTGACTAGGCATAGTAAAAAAATTTTAAATCCAGTTCTATTTTCGAAAATATGGTCCAATTTCTAGTCTGCATAAATAAAGGTGCAAAAGTGTCTTGACGACACTTAGTTTAGAATTATTTAACGAGGAGCACACGTTTGCACACAGACATGTGGAAGAAGGTATTTTTAGCGATATTCATATTTGTCCACATGGCTTGCGCCGCCCATGTGGAAATGGCCTCAAAATTTGAAGAAGAAGTTGATGGTAATTCCTATCCTGTGGCCGTGGTGGAACATGGAGATTTTACCGGTGTGCGACCACGCAGAGCTATCTTGAAATTGGCTGCCTTGGGTGCCCTAGCTGGTGGTGCGGCATTAGTTGGCGGTGCAGCATTGGCTGGTGGTGCTGCTTTGGCTGGTGGGGCTGCATTGGGTGCTACTGCCATAGGAGCTGGAGTTGCTGGAGCCGCCATTGGGTCATTGGGAGCAATTGGTAGTCGTGGTTTCATTGGTGGATATGGCGGCTATGGTGGTGGTTATGGAGGTTATGGAGGAGGCTATGGTGGTGGTTACGGTGGTGGTTACGGTGGAGGCTACGGTGGTGGTTACGGTGGTGGTTACGGTGGCAGCTATTCCGCTAGTTATTCTGGATCCTATTCTGGTGTTTATGGCGGTTATGGAGGAGGTGGCTACGGCTGGGGTGGTAATGGAGGTTGGGGCGGCAATGGAGGCTATTGGAGATAAAATCAATAAAATTAGTTTATATTTAAATTTTATTATAATTGTTTATTAAATGGATTCATCGTGTATTTAAATAAATTCTATTCTTTAAATTCAGTCTAAATAGAAATTTCCATAGAAAACTCAATGCAGAAAAAACGACTGAAGCTGGAATATTTTTGTTATGCGGGTCAACATCGACTAGTATGTGTGGGTTGAATTTTTGAAAATTCGTACTCTTATAAAAGCTACCAAATTGGTAACCTATGCCGAGATCAAATAGCTAAAGCTAGAATCTTAAAATTTTGTACGTGTACCAGTATTGACACGTATACATTGCGAAAACAGGATCTGTGGAAATTCGCATGGAAATTGTGCAAAAAGTAATAATAGTAAGTAACGCCCAAGAGCCTAAAGCTGAAATCTTGACATTTTGTAATGCTAAAAATTTTGCTGATTTCGCCATGACTGTTAAAATCACGATAAAAATCTAAATATTGAGGACCGAGCTTTTTTGACATAGGCTTCATATAAAGTTTCCCCATAGTTCCTATATAAAGGTTCCGCCACATTTTCATCATTTTGAATATGGCTGATTGACATAGCCTCCATGTAGAGATACAGCTCTATTTTATTGTAGAGATACCGCTCCATTTATTGTTACCGCAACTTGGTTCGTGGAGAATGACATATATTTGCATTTATGTCGATGTTTGGCATAGCTCACATATACATGCCCAGTCTCATTTTCATTATTTTTAAGGTTATAACTGCATTTTCCAACCAAAATATCTGCTATTGGTCTTTTCGGGTTCTTGAATTGTGACATACATCTATGCAGACATGTTTCGATATAAATCTATGATGTGAAATAGTCCCCATGCTGCATTTCCTAACCGATTTGTATGTAGTTAGGTATTTCGGGTTATTGAAGGTTGACATACATATATTCAGAAATGTTGCTATATAGATCTATATTTTGAATAAGGGTACCCCTCAATTTTCGGTATTTCGATGTCTGTCCGTCCGTCCATGTATTTTTGTGAACAAAGTACAGGTCGCATTTATGTTCCAATTTGGATGAAATTTGGCACAGTTCACTTATTTGGCCCAAGGACGAACCCTATTGAAATTTAAGAAAATCGGTTCAGATTTAGATATAGCTCCCATATATATGTATGATGCACCTCCAACTCCCAATATTTGACCGATTGGAACAACATTTTGCACAGAGTACTGAATTAGGTCCATACTGAAGTCTGCGAAGTTTTGTTTTGTTAAATCGGTTCAGATTTAGATATAGCTCCAATATATAGTTCCTCCGATTTTTTGTGAATGATGCACCAAACTCCCAATATTTGTCCGATTGAGACAAAATTTTACACAGAGTACTGAATTAGGTCCAGACTAATATCTGCGATGCTTTGTTAAAATCGGTTGAGATTTAGATATAGCTCCTATATATACTTTCGTCTCCCAATATTTGTCAGATTGAGCAAAATTTTGCATAGCAAATGCAGTTGAGGAAAAAATTATGTGTAATAAGGTTTGTTGAAATCGGTTCAGATTTTAATATAGGTCTTATATATATTTTCGTTTGATTTTTTGTAAATGGTGCACGGAAGGGCCTATGTTTGCTCGATTTACTCGAAATTTGGCATAGGGTATTAAATTTAATATAGAGTGATAACAAAAAAACAAATGGGGTATGGAACGGTTGTACAATTAGGTCCATGTGTTTATATATAGCACCCATACATAATCTTATTCGGTTTCATACAAATGGAACACCAAAGAATCCAAGTCTGCCCGTTTGACATGCAATTTTTCAATTTGTTCACAGATAGCACATTTAATCTCATCATTCCATCATTCCAATGGTCCTCCAAAGATTCTATGTCTGTTCTATCTACAGGATATTGTAGATATTAACATCTCTTGTATGTACCGAAAGTGGTGAAGGGTATCATATAGTCGGCCCCGTCCGACTTTTGAATTTTCTTTACCTGTTTTGGTTGTGGACGTATTTGATCGTTAATCTCCCTTCCAATTTTTTTTATATTTTTCCCCTTTAGTTGAAGTCCCTATATAACCCCTTTTTGATACCGTCAGCCTTATGGCTAATGAGGGTATATACACCATGTTGGTGATATGATGAAAATGTGCCTCATCGAAATATTGCTTTAAGACCCCATGTTTGTTGAGCCCAAATCCGTTTCAGAAAATTTGGAGTCGATTTACAAATGTCCGTCGGACCGTCTGGCTGTTGCGCACGATAACTCTCGAAGGGAGCACCCGATATCGCCAAAACAAAAATTGATCGATAATTTACGTGAAATCAATCAGTACAGACATCCGCCAAAAAATAATGGATTTCTTTTCCCCCAACCTAGTATTTAATCAATAAAATTTTAATAAATAAATAAACATCACTTCTTATTTAAAAAATACGAGAGCCTTAGGGACACATTCGTTTTGTTCTTATAACCAGATTTATATTAAAACTATTTAATAATTCATTTAAATAAATTCATAATTAAACACTCCTTTAAAACGAATGCCAAAATTGGCCGCATCTATTATAGGTGCGGCGAATGAACACAAAAAAGGACCATCTCCATCATACCATATTTATGAATAAATTTGGCACCTCAAAACGCGACACGAGATACACATTGTGTGCGTGTGTATTTTAGCAATTTTTGCAATATTAAAGCTAGTAAATCAGTCTTTAAATGAAATTGCTCAGCACAGGTTGTTTTACGAAAAAATTCTCAAATTTCTCTAAGGAATATGAAATTCCAATTATGTTTTAATTTGGAAAATCTAAGTTTTGTCATTGCCAGTCTCAATGCGATGGCCTACTTGGTGGCATTAATGTTCGATATCATATTCTTAAATGAAGAATATAAGAAATCAACACAAAGAAAAGGTAAATTACTAAATTTTTGTCTTAAATCTTTAAGTTTACTACTGTTTTTATTTACTTTTTTTAGATTTTAGTGGAAAATATGCTGTCCATTGCGGAATTGTACTTCTCTTAGTATTTAGTATGGGACTATGCTCATCAGTGTTATACCTTAAAGGACTTCGGGAGGTGAGTTATTTTACGTTTAAAGGTGTAAAAGGGGTTTCCCAAAATGGACTAGGAATATAAAGAGTGCCTTTACATCAAGAATTTTCAAGAAATTGGTTCTTACTTGCCAAATAAAGCTGACTCAAATATTAGAGCTGGTAGATAAATTGAAACGACGTACGTTGCCATTTGTCAAGTCGGTATTGGAACCCCTTTTTATATTGTCTTCAAACATATATGTATGAAGACATGTATTTCGAGATATATAAACTTCCATAAAATAATAATATTTTGCTTTCATTATCATAATTTTTTAAAGAAACGCCATGGACTAATGAAACCCCTACTCTATGTAACAACGGCCTGTATTTCCTTCTTCAGCATTTCCTTTATTTGTTTCTATGGTGCAGTTTTAATTTCAAATTTGCTATACACCGATGCTATTGTAATTGGCTTTAGCTACTTTTTGGCTATAGGTAAGTTAGAACTAAATAAAGAATGTTAAAAAAATATCCTAATAACTTTTTCTTTTTTATTTTAGGCCTTTTTATCTTACTTTCTACTCCATTATTTTTGACATATAGACAACAGCAAATAAAAAAATCAATTCATCCTATTAAGAAATCAATTGATTATCTTGAAAAACCTGTTGACCAACTGAATCAGTAAATATGATATTTGATGAACAACAGAGGAATTTATCATCCACCAATACGATTTCAAATATCAAACATTTTATTTTATTAAAATATTTGGTTAATGCATAATAAATAAAGTAAATAATTTGAATATATCTAGGTATGTAGTATAAAATTCCAGAAATTTCCTATATAGGAGCTATATCTAATTCTACAGATACACATGCAAACATTTACAAACATATGCAACACTATATAATACCCTACAACACAGTGTGGTGAGGGGTATTAAATGGGCGTTAAGTTCGTCTGAGAGCAACTTTTTCTAAACTCCTACATATAGATAAAAGAAAGTTTTCAAAATAATTCGCATTCAAGATAATATTTGCTCAACAAAGGCAGATGTTTCTTAACTAATATGATTTGCAAATATCAAATTTCAGCCATTTCGAAGTGCAGCAACCATCCAAATACGGAAAATAAGAGATACCAAAGACGTGTTTGCTAGTAAGTTTTTTTTTTTTTTTTTTGTTCTCAACTTAGAAAACTGAACTAGGAACTACAACATATCAAATTTTTTGCAAATCCTTTGTATGGGGGCTATTTAAAAAAGTCCCTTTATGGAAAATTTCTGGTGAGATTTTGGTTATTCAACAGGAATCTGAAATGCTAAATTATAAACATTTTATTTGAAAGGAGAAAAAGAAAGACGAAGGACTATTTTCGGCACAAATGGACCTATTCGAAAGTTTTCTCAAACTATTTCTTGACCTTCTATTAACCTCGAATGCTACATTACAGTCACTTCGGTGCATCTTAAACCTTCAATATATCCAAAATGGGGCGGAACATGGGCAATGGTAACTAGGACCTATATTTATATTGCCCCTTATTTAAGAACAAATTTCTATAATTATGATTTTAAACCAGTAAGGAAAGTAGTAAAGTCGCATGGGGCCGACTATATGATACCCTTCACCAATATGGGTATATTAAACAGCACTATTAACATGAAATTGGAACAAATAAAATATGTGTTATTTATCTAATACCATAAACAGACGACAGCCTTAATTTGCATTAAAAATTTCTTAATTTGAATTAATATTTTCCACTGATAGACGAGAGTTTCTGCATTTACGAAACATTTTTTTGCTTCAAAACAATTGTTTGTCTGTGTGTATGATGAAATTTTTTTACATTTGTTTCGATATTTTTCGGGATTACATCTTTCGGAAATGGATACATGACATAAAGGAGGAATTGCAATTATGATCTTAGCAAAACAGCTCCCAATTTTAAAAATGGTT